TGATGACCTAGTGCCTATCTATCCCTAGAATATACCCTCTCTGAAAAATTTTCGCACAAAATATTTCACCTAATTAACTCACTACAAAGACACGGTATTGGTGCCCCAGTATTTTGGCCACGTGATCAAAGTCTGGCCCTTGTTTGGTGCCCACCTCCCTCTGTGACAATACATTCTTGTCCTTGACTTTGTTAAATTCAATGCCAAGAGTCTCCATCGGGAATATTCTTACATAGTCTGAATTGAAGGAGATGTCTTAGGTCTAAATATAGGAATACATGGCTGGTTTTGTATCATTGCTGAAAATCCGTGTGTGTGTGTGTGTGTGTGTGTGTGTGTATCTGACAGGCTTTTCTTCAGTTTAAAATGCAGGCTGCCCGCATACATATGGGCTTCTGGTCATTTGGACTCACTATTGAAGACATTTAGATGACTCTGTTCTCATGCGGTCTTCTTCAGGTCAATTGATTTGCCAGAATTTACCAAGCTCCCATTTTCCCAAGCCCATGGCTTTTTGCTAACAATCTGGGGAGGTTACTGAAGACAATAACTAAATTTCTGAAATCTCTGTCTGCTGGGTGTTGTTCCTACTGAGATACCCCCATGCTATTAAGCTTCTACCCTTTTCGTGTTAAAAAAAATAGTATGGTGGTCTAGTCTCAACTTTGGGTGAACAGGTCTGCTTTAATTTGTCTCTTTTTCAAGTTTATTGAAAATCATCCTTACCATCCACTCACATTTACTGGGCAGCTACTATTTTGCACCGTCTGGGGCTGGGAACTGTTGTGGGTGTAAGCCATGATTTCGGTTTCCAAAGGTTCTGGGCTTTTTTTTTTTTTTTTTTTTAATGTTTATTTATTTTTGAGGTGGGGGAAGGGCAGAGAGAAAGAGAGGGAGACACAGAATCCAAAGCAGGCTCCAGGCTCTGAGCTGTCAGCACAGAGCCCAATGCTGGGCTTTAAACTCACAAACCAAGGGATCACGACTGGAGCCAAAGTCAGACGCTTAACTGACTGGGTGACCCAGGTGCCTCTGATTCCAAAGATGATATGATAAAGAATATATTTGGTCTTTGCCCTTAATTCCTGCCATGGAGTCCCTAAAATCCTTGGAATTTCCTGAGTGCTCAGTGTCTTTTGTTACTCAAAGTGAGTCCCTTTAGTTTTAGAGGGTCCCTTTTGTTTTATGCTAGCCAGGAGATTTATGTTAGCCTCAGAATAGGGTTGATCTTCCAGCCTCACTCATTGAGTTCCAGGAAGGAGCAGCTGGAGATTAAGTTTCTAGAAAACCTCCGAAAAGAAGAAATTTGATGAGCTTCTGGGTTAGTAGGTGCATTCACGTGCCCAGAGGGTGGCATATTCCAGCCCCACACAGATAGACAGTCCTGCACTCAGGACCTTCCTGGACCTTGCTCTATGTACCTCCTCATCTGGCTGCTTATTTTTTATCCTTTATAATATCCTTTCGAGTAAACCAATAAGTGTGTTTCCCTGAAATCTATGAATGGTTCTAGCAGATTATGGAACCTGAGAAGTGGGTCACGGGAACCCCAGTTTGTAGCCAAATTAGACGTAAGGGTGGGGCCTTACTACTTAAGTGACATCTGAAGAAGGAAGGCAGCCTTTTTGGGACTGAGCCTGTGGTATCTGTGCTAATGCTAGATTACAGATTGGATTGAATTGTTGGGCACCCAGTTGGATGCCAGCAGAAAATTGGCTGCTGGTGTTGGAAAACACCTTGGGAACACAGGATATATTTATTTAAAGATAAATAATAATATCAAATAGCACATGAAAACTGTAAGTGAGTGGTGCCTTAGTCAGCTTATGTTAGGTTTTGCTACAGTAATGTCAACTTTAAATCAGTGGCCGATAACAAAGGTTTATTTTTCATTCTCTTGATGGCTGAACTAAAGATCGACCATGGACTCCACAGATCTTCGTCTTTCCAGGACCCAGGTTGGAGGGACAGCCTCTCTCTAAGGAGATGCCACTCTTATGACAGAGAATAAAGTGCAATGGGAGAGCTACAAGATCACTCTCAAAGCTCCGCTTGGATGGGACACATGTCACTTCTCACATTTTAGTGGCCCCATCAAGTTATGAGGGTGACGTGTAATCCTTCCACAAGAAAGGGCTGCGAATCATAGGGACCAAGAATCCAATCTATCATAAATAGCATAGGGAAAGAGTGCTATGGGAACGAAGAGGTGGCAAGCTCATGGGGGGGGGGGGGGGGTCAAATGGAGCCACTGAAGGGGCCTTGAAGGATGGTTAGGATTTAGACAGATGGAGCAGGTGCTAGGTCCTTTAGATGAGGCAGCAAAGTGTCCAAAACATATTCAGGTGACAAGAAATAGACAAATCAGAAAGAATAGGGTTGGAGGAGACAGGCTGTCTTAGAGAAAGATTGAGCTCCCTGTGTCAATATACATGGATACATGATACTAGTTGCTAATATTTATTGAACTTTGTATTTAATTCTGCCATGAGATTTTCTCCCCATTTTATGGAAGTTGTGGGTTAGAGACGTCAAGCTACTGACCTGAAGCCACATGGCTGCTGAGTGCGGAAGTCAGGATTCAAACCCTGGCAATCTTAGGGGCGCCTGGGTGGCTCAGTCGGTTGAGCGCCCGGCTTCAGCTCGGGTCATGATCTCACAGCTCTTGAGTTCGAGCCCCATGTCAGGCTCTGTGCTGACAGCTCAGAGCCTGCAGCCTGCTTCAAACCCACTCACATTCTGTCTCTGTCTCTCTCAAAAACGAATAAACATTAAAAAAAATAAATAAATAACCCTGGCAATCTGCTGCAGAAGTGTGTAATCTTTACACTACTACTTCTGGGAGAACCTGGGGGGATTTACACACCCGCCCTGTGCCAAACAGTTGGCTTCCTGGCTGTAAGCAACAAAAACCAATTATGACTGATGTGAATAGATACGGGACCCTGGAAGGAACTCACAGGACGTTGACCTGGTACCTAGGCTGAGAAGCTGGAAGAGCAGAGCCATCTTCTAGCAAGATTAGTCTCGTCAGAATGCCACCGCCACAGCCACAGTACCTGCCATGAGAGGATCCCAGCCCTCCCTTTGTGTCTGTTATACTCACTCAAGAGTCCAAATTGTAGGATGGGCTTCTGGTTGCCAGGGATAGAGAGAGAAAGAGGATCTCTCTGCTTTGTCATCTGTCGTCACAGACCAGGTCATGTGACACTCCTGCTCCCAAACAGAAGGAGGGGTGAACATCGCACAGTAAAAATGACAAATGTCCACTACCTTCTGTAACCCCATAGAAGGGGACAATTCGGTTATAACATTTGTAGTGACAGAAGCAAGGACTAGGATTAGAATTAATGTAGAGGAGGGGAATTAGATATTTCTCAGAGACTTGGGGGGATGGTATTGTGGTAGGCCTCATGGTGGAGTAGCCCCTTAAATAAAGTTTTGAAGGATAAATGGGTAAGAATCATCAAGGCAGACGATAACAGGTCCAGACACAAGTGAGCGTGTATGGAGGTACAGATGTGTGAAACAGCACTGAGTGAGATTCACTGGGAACACAACAAGGACGTGGGTCCAACATGGCAGCTGCTCTCAGCGAGCACAGCTGATTGGACTGAGAGATGGAGAGGCACTGAACAGCGTCAAGTAGAGGTGAGTCACGCTTGCATTTTCGAAGCTCACTCTGATCCCTGATGGAGGGCAGATGGCAGGAACTGGTGTGGGTCAGGGTTAAGCCTGGTAGGCCACGGGAGATCAAGTTTCTAATTCTGGCCCTTTCACCAATTTACTGTATGATTTGGCCTCTAGCTTATGCTCTCCGTGTTTAGGCCTCACTATTCTCATCTTTAAGATGCTTTGGATGGATAAGATCATCTTAATGTAGTCCATTCTACCTTTGAAGTTCTAGGACTTAGTCGCCCCAAAGGAAGATCGGAGTACAAGTATAAAAGGCTTTCAATTCCAGGGTAAGGTATTTGAACTACTTATTTATTTATTCAACAGATATTTATGGAGTGCTTCCTATGTCAAGCACTGTTCTAGGCTTCAGGGAAATAGCAGAGAATAAGAAAATCCTCCACCACTATGGGAAATTTTTGGAATAAGAACTTACACTCTAGGGGAGCCTGGGTGGCTCAGTTTGCTAAGCATCCGACTTCGGCCCAGGTCATGATCTCGCGGTCCATGAGTTCGAGCCCCGTGTTGGGCTCTGTGCTGACAGCTCAGAGCCTGGAGCCTGTTTCAGATTCTGGGTCTCCCTCTTTCTCTCTCCTCCCCCACTCATGCTCTGTCTCTCTCTTCTCAAAAATAAATAAACGTTAAAAAAAATGTCCAACTCTTAATGATCTCATAATCTCACAGTTTGTGAGTCTGAGCCCCTCATTGGGCTCTGCACTGACAGCGTGGAGCCTGTTTGAGATTCTGTCTCCCTCCCTCTCTGCTCCTCCCCCCACTTGCTCTCTATCTCTCAAATAAAAATAAACCTAAAAAAAAAAGAGCTGACATCCTAACCAGGTGGAGATTAGACACAACTCTCTAATAATAGAAGGTGGCGCTATGCGCTAGCAAGAAAAAGGAAACAATAGAAAAATAAAAGTTGGGGGGATTGAGAGTGACAGGAGAAAGGCACTCCTTACATGGGCTGGCAGGGAGGGCTTCTCAAGGAAGCGAAAGAGACTTTTAGGAGAGATTTAAATGAAGGAGGGATCAAGTCCCGTGAAGACGGGTGGGAAGAATTTTCCCAGCAGAGTGATCAAATAAATGGCAACTGCAAAGGTGTCAGGGTGGTTTGTTTAAAGGAGAGCAGGAGGTCAGTGGGGCAGAGCAGAGTAAGAAGAGCTTCAGGTAAAGGAAAGAGCAACTGTAAAGGCTCTAAGTTATGTTTAAGAAAGACCAAGGCATTCAATATGGTGTAATGGAGTAAGCCAGGAAAAAGGTCTCAGTAGGTGACTTCAGAGAAGTGGCCAAGAGCCAACTTTCCTCCATGACTTGTTTTTTTATTCCATTATTTCAGTGTGTGACAGGCACTGGGCTAAGCTCTGGAAACACACCCATGAACTGGCTATGCCTTCAAGGAGCTGAAAATGTTTCCAATGGACTCACAAGTACGCCAAACACATTTCTAGTCATCAACCTTATTGTCTAGCACTTCACGTCTTGCCAACTTTCATCAAACTCTTCTGATCCACCAGGCTGTTGTTTAACGTGTTTGCTTTGCCTGGGTTTGCCCTTATCATCCCACACATCTAAAGCTTCCTTAGTCTTTAAGGTCAGCTCAAATACCAGTTCCTTCAGGAAATTTCTTTTGCCCTAGACTGGAAGAAATCTCTGTTGTTCTGTGTCATGCATCTATCAATTTGTCCCTCTATCCATTTGTCCATCCTTCCATCCATGCACCTATCCATCCATCCATCATATTCTCTGATTCTTTTTCTTTTTAACAGGTAGCAGCCCTGTCCTGGGAATTGTTGAAGCAGCAGTAAACAAAACACCATCCTGCTTTCAATGATGTCAGAATATAATGCCAAAGTAACAAGAAAATAAACCATTGAAATACAGGAAATGTTACAAGCTATCTTTTTCTTTCTTTTTTTTTTTTTTTTAATCAGGCACTTGCTGTTTGTCTAATGCCATAGTAAACACAATGACTACTAATAAAAAGTGAAATACTGAATCCCGACTTTAAGGGCATCTCCTGTTTCATAAATAGAATTTGTAAACAATTTTTCAGTGTAGAGAATAGATATTAAACATCTGCTGATTAAAGACTTCATATAAAGTTCAAGTAGTAGAAATACAATTGGATGATTTAGTCTGATGACAAAAATACAGTGGACCCCTGAACAATGCAGGGCCGAGGGGTCCTGACCTCCCCACACAGTTGAAAATCTATCTGCAACTTTGGACTCCCAAGAAACTGAGCCACTAGTAGCCTACTGTTGACCAGAAGACTTACCTATAACATAAACAGTCGATTGATACATATTCTGTATGCGCTACGTATTATATATTGTATTCTTACAATAAAGTAAGTTACAGGGGGTGCCGGGTGGCTCAGCATCCAACTCTTTATTTGGCTCAGGTCATGATCTCACAGTTCATGAAACTGAGCCCCACGTCAGGCTCTGCAGTGTGGAGCCTACTTGGGATTCTCTCTCTCCCTCTCTCTGCCCCTCCCCTGCTCATTCTCTCTCTCTCCCTAAATAAATAAATAAGCTTAAAAACACTAAAGTAAGCTAGAGAAAAGAATATGTTATTAAGAAAATCATAAGGAAGAGAAAATACATTTATAGAACTGTACTGTATTTATGAATCCCATACGTTTACATCATTTGTTCACGAGATGCATCATCTGTCAGTACCTACCTCAATATTACATGATACAAAACAATGTAGATGTTAATACGTATAACACTAGACATCAAACAATGAAAATATAATGTGGAAAGAAATTCATGTTTATTTACAGGTATAATGATTCATGCATTGACAATGAAAAAGCAGCAGTGTGATTGCTTTCTGGTAGCCTAGTATATCCCACATGACTGCTCCACAGTAGCCTAGCCTATACATTAATGAGTGAATTGCTATAAAAATTTTATGGCACAAAGCATCATGGTCAGATTCATAACAGTATTGAAAACATTGTTACGTTTTGTAAAACCACTTACATGTGATGGGCTGACATGCAGTTTCTCCACTTACGAGAGACAGCGGCCTTCCTTTCGTTTCAAGTTGTCCTATGATGACTTCCCTTTTTCTTGAACCACATTAGAGACCACAGGTATGCCTTTCTTACAGCAATCCTGCATCCACATAAAAGCTGCATTTTCAATATGACTCAAAAGGGTATTTAGCAAGAGGTGCAAAGTTTTTTGGTGTGCCTCGGGTGGCACAGTTGGTTAAGCATCTAACTCTCGATCTTGGCTCAGGTCACGATCTCATAGTTGGTGAGTGCATAGGGCTATGCGCTGATGGCCCAGAGCCTGCTTGGGATTCTGTTTCTCTTTCTCTCTGCCCCTCCCCTGCTTGTTTGTTCTCTCTCTCTCTCTCTCTTTCTCCGAAAATAAATACATAAACTTAAGAAAAGGAAGGTCAAGGTTTTCATGGCTACTGGCCTGGCTGTGGTCATGGCCTCATGCAGTTTCTTTTGTTTTCTTTACAATGGTCTCTATGCTGGATTCATGCACTTGAAACCATAGGCAAAGGCAGCTGCAGATCACGGTCCACAGTACATATTAAGAAATTCAACTTCCTCTTGTCATGTCAGGACTTTGCTTCTTGGGAGCATTTCCAGCGTCACTAGTTGCACTTCACGTGGATTCCATGGCATTATTTAAGGTTTACAGTATTGATTAAACATGATGAAAAATACGCAAGAACTGTGAGCGGTCACTTTTTACTGCAACATGCAATTGACTCGAGAGAGGAGCTGCCCACATGGAGATAATTAGCATCACAGGGTGTTTTTAAGCTTGAGCTCACCACAATGGTCACAGGAGGTAGCTATGAAATTACCAGTGTAGTGAAATATGTACTACAGTTAGTTTTATGCAGTTATGATCTAATACTGCATCTGCATTTACATTTCTCCTAACTGCAGATGGGAGTATGTATGGTCTGTGTGCATGAGTTTTGATAAATTTTAACTTTTTATAATAGATTTGTGTATATATTTTTTTGGCAGCAAATGATAAAATAGTCTGTACACATTTTATTCATTCGTGACGTACCTAACCTGTGCATAATTTCTTCGATATTTCTAGGCTATGTGGTTTGTCTATGAGTTTTTTTTTTCCAACTTGTCAGAAATCTCCATAAAATTTTCCAATATAATTACTGAAAAGAATTCGTGTACAAGTGGACACACACAGTTCAAGCCCGGGGTGTTGAAGGGTGAACTGCAGTCTATGTATGACTGTCGCCAATAATGGAGCAGATCTCTCAAAGAGTAAATTTCTAATAGATCGATCAAAAATATTGCAAAACACTCTATCGGCTAGACACTGTGGGAGAACCCCACTCAAAGTATGTATATTTATGTTTAGCTGTGGGGATAAGACCCACACATTTCGAAGAGTAACTGCAGTAAAAAAATAAGACGCTGGGGGCTCTGGGCTGATGGCTCAGAGCCTGGAGCCTGTTTCCGACTCTGTGTCTCCCTCTCTCTCTGCCCCTCCCCCATTCATGCTCTGTCTCTCTCTGTCCCAAAAATAAATAAAAAACGTTGAAAAAAATTATAAAAAAAATAAGACGCTGAAGAATGGCAGTGAAATTAGTGGTGTATGCAAAATAAATGATATAAATTCAGACAAGTATCGAGGAGGGATGCTTTAAATCGGTCCTTTCGCGGTGAGCAAAATTCATAGGATGATAACGAACGGAGGGTGGAAGCCCCGTTTGGGGAAATGATGAACACAAAGGCCCAGCTGAGAGATGGCGAAGTGTTAAAAATCACAGGGAAGAGCGTGGCGCTCATTCAGTCTTAGGGAACTGGCACTGGCCTGTTTCGCTAATCAGCATCCCGAGCATATGGCCTGACACAAATGTATGTTGGATGAATGAATCTTTAAAAATGAATGAACAAGCCAGACGAGCTACCGCGGATTCTTATTTAGGAAAATGACTTCAAGAATATGGTGCTTCTGGAAGATTCGCCTGGCAGAGTAGAACTGAGTAGGAGAGAGTGAAAAGAGGGCTCCCTCCTGGGAGGTGTGGCGTCACACGGAAGAGCCGAAATTCACACCGGAGAGGGCCAAGGAGGGCACAAGGGACTGGAAAGGTGGCGGGGGGTGTTCGAGGAGGGTCGTCCTAGGAGAAGGCGAAATCCAGGGGCAGCGGGAGGGGGGACATGGAGGTGTAGAGCCCCCAGTCGAACTGCAGAGATGTGCAGAGCAGGCACCTGCTCACCTGCATGGAGGGAGCTGGCAGAACCCCGTGTTAGGGTTCCATCTCAGCGTGCCCTCTTCCTTATCTAGGCTCAGTTAATTTTCCTTCAATTCTGTAGCAATACAAACTCTTTATAGAGCCAAACCAGCAAAGCGCACCTATGGTTTATTTCCGTGTCTGAGATCTCCTTTATCTTTTCCGTGATCCAGCAGATAGATGACGGCTATTATTTTATGTTTTGTATGTTTTAGGTGGGGGCAAGGGGTGCACTTCATTGGCTTCTGAACTGGGGGAACACTGTTGGCGGAGGTCCCCAAAAGGCGGCAAGAAGCTGCACTGGGCGGGGAGGGGGAGAGTGATGTTTACTCTGCTGTTGCACCAACACCCAGGAAAGGCGCGGATCATACAGCTAATAAATGATGGGGTTAACACCTCCACTCGCCTGTCTCTGGGTCCCACATCTGTGGACAGCTCAATAAATGGAGCAGATTTTTGTCTGGACAAGCTGAAGCCCTGCCCGAAGGCTGGTGTTTATTTAGATGACTGCCCACCTGTGTCCATCCTGAAGTTGGTATGCTCTTTTGAAACACATTTGTTAAATACCAGTAAAAGTCATCTTCCCATAAAGTTTATTGGGCATCCATTTTGTCAGAAGGATAATAACGGTTCACAGAATTTCTGAGGGCCACGGCAGTAGTACACGGAGCAATTCGGAATATGGTAGAGAAATCTGGATGCATCTGGAATATATTTTGCAGTAAGAACCAATAAGTTTTATTTCTTGATTGGACGGGGTTGGGTTGTGGTATTAGTGGGGGAAATAGAGTACTCCAGAATGACTAGTGTTTTTGCCCTGAAAGATTGGTAGATCACGGTGCCACTTATTGGCCATTTATCGGACGGGAAAGATTTAGGCGGGAATCAGTTTGTGAAGAAAATAAAGAATTCTGCTCTGGAGGTGTTAAGTTTGAGATGTCTGTGAGCCACCTCCGTGGAGTTTCTGCGAAGGCAATCAGACATACACTCAGGCGAGTTCAGGGCTGGAATTCAAGTTTGGGAGATGGACTTTTGCAAATCTCCTGCCTCTTTCTCAGATGTTAGGTTCAGGAAAAAGGGGGCAGAAATGTTTCTTGCTTCAGAGAAACGAATAATACTGATGTCCATTTGCTCATTCATATTGTTCTTCATTCCTCGAATATTTATTCAGTGCTTTTCAGTGCTGGATGCTGTGTTCAATTCTATGAATATAATGGCAATTCAATGAGCACATACGATCACTGCCCTCTTTGGATCCGACATCTAGAGCGGCACGGTGAACACAATCTGAGCTTCATACGAAAGTTCAAATTTTCTGATAGCCACGTTAAACAAGCAAAAGGAGGGGCGCCTGGGTGGGTCAGTCGGTTGAGCGTCCGACTTCAGCTCAGGTCACGATCTCGCGGTCCGTGAGCTCGAGCCCCGCGTCGGGCTCCGGGCTGATGGCTCGGAGCCTGGAGCCTGTTTCCGATCCTGTGTCTCCCTCTCTCTCTGCCCCTCCCCCGTTCATGCTCTGTCTCTCTCTGTCCCCAAAATAAATAAACGTTAAAAACAAAACTTTTTTAAAATAAAAATAAAAAAATAAAAAAGCAAAAGGAAATAGATGAAGTTAATTTTAATACTTATGCTATTT